ATTTGTATGGGCGATTGGTCATACGTATAGGTTGGCCTTTCGATTTTATATGCAAATTTAAACTCTCTATTGTCAGAATTCCGCATGAATATAAATATCATTACACGTGTTCTCATCTGAAGCAAGATGTTAAATGTATCCCTAAAAAGGAGGGCCATCTACAAAGTTGATTATTATTATGAACTAAAGCTGCGAAATAATATGATTGGTGGATTGGCTAGATCCTAAGGACTGCCCATTCAAACTCCAAAAGAATATCAAACAGTGCTATAAATAAGATAATTGTCATTATCGAAATAAATTGCAACTGATATAAATCATTGGTAAATCCAAACTTAATTTGGAAGACATGTTAAGATTAATGGGTAAATTATTGCTTTGGATAAATTACACAAGAGCAGGTATGTCCAATTCGGTGATCAACACTCTGTGTATTTACTCCACCTGCAGTAGCATTTTTTTTATATTTATTTCAAAGAAAAAACATGTTAAGGCAATTGCAAAAACAATTACAATACAGTTACATGGTAAACGTACATTTTACAATTCGTGTTGCTCGGCTGTCCAATTGATTAGCACGAACACAAACAAATTCGAAATCTGCCACAACAAGTGAATTCATTCTGTGACAAAAAATCGCAAGAAAAGGGAAAGGAAACGCACAAAGTTATTATTAGACCCCCATCAATCATCGAATCCAATAAACAGAAAAAACATTTGAAACTAAGCTATATCCCTAAATATTTTGAGTTAACAAGAACATTTAATGAATGTTTATCACTGAATCGTGATTGTGTTATCACGCATAAAACCAATGACACTTAAATAAGCTGGGACTACTGAATGTGAGTGCAAATTTTGATTTCCGGTGGTTTATTTCATGACTCAGGAGCATCAATTGATTTAGATTTTCCAATTGTTTTATGAATACTTATTCACTGTCAATCAAAGGGGCATCAAACCACGAATAAAAAGACGATGAACAGAATAACATTTTTAATTGTTTGTTTTGCTGTATTGGTAAGGACATGTGTTTATGTCGTTTTGTTCCAATGAGGTTCGGAAAGATGTTTCATTTCACTCTGGAAACATGATACCAAGAACAAAACAAGTGTTTGATGTGTTTTTTAAAACAATATAGATGAAAGTATGTTTATCTATTTCAAATTATATTGTTACCATTCAAAAGATGGCCATTAAATTGACAATTTGTAAGATTTTGAGAAATTTTTGATGACTGGTTTAAGGGAAACGAGTGTTCAAAAAGTTCGCCATATCGATACCCATTCTTTATATGGTTTATTTTTTCAGTTGATTTAGATTTCCCCAATTGTTTTATGAATACTTATCCACTGTAAATTAAATGGACATCAAACCACAGATAAAAAGACAGTGAACAGAATAACATTTTTAATTGTTTGTTTTGCTGTGTTGGTAATGACTGGGTCACATATGCTCCGATCCATCGGCCGGCGCCCGGCCGATTGAGTGTTTTGTTCGATATTGTCTTCAATTTTGAACAAAATACTCAATCGGCCGGGCGCCGTAGTGAAAATCGATGGATATACGACCAAGGCATAAGGAAATGTGCCTTTACGTCGTGAACTGTTCAAATTAAAACCATTCAGTGATACTTTAGTAGGAACGAAGCGTCCCTACGAATACTTTACGAATGGTCATTTAGACAGATAGATCTGTAAGCTAGATAGTATTCAATTTAAGTTTGATGTTCATTAGTATTCACGTTAAGCTAGATAGTCACTTTAAACTAGATATTTTATACAATTTGCATATGTATTTTGAAATAGATTAATACTTTATAGTTTTACATCATCTTGCGTGTTCCCACGTGTTGTTCCTCGCCCCATGGTTACATTCAGATTCAATCAGGTTTTAGCACATTCTAACCAATTTGTATTTCCAGACTTCATTTCATTTCATTATTATGTTATACTGACCTACTTATGTGTTTAGTATGTTTTTAATCTTGACAATGTGTTGTCCCTCGCCCCATGGCTACATTCAAGCAGGTTTTAGTACATTCTGACCAATTTGTATTTCCAGACTTATTCATTTCATTATTATGTTATACTGACCTACTTATGTGCTTAGTATGTTTTTAATCTTGACAATGTGTTGTCCCTCGCCCCATGGTTACATTCAGATTCAATCAGGTTTTAGTACATTCTGACCAATTTGTATTTCCAGACTTAATTATTTCATTATTATGTTATACTGACCTACTTATGTGCTTAGTATGTTTTTAATCTTGACAATGTGTTGTCCCTCGCCCCATGGTTACATTCAGATTCAATCAGGTTTTAGTACATTCTGACCAATTTGTATTTCCAGACTTAATTATTTCATTATTATGTTATACTGACCTACTTATGTGTTTAGTATGTTTTTAATCTTGACAATACTGCTTATTTTTATCAACATAACAATGATGGATAATTAATATCTTAGTCATCGAATAGTAATTAGTATATAAATCTTGCATAATCACGGACCATGACGTGTTTGAAGAAACTTACATTCTGATCAATTTGTATTTCCAGACTTCATTTCATTTCATTATTATGTTATACTGACCTACTTATGTGTTTAGTATGTTTTTAATCTTGACAATGTGTTGTCCCTCACCCCATAATTACATTCAAGCAGGTTTTAGTACATTCTGACCAATTTGTATTTCCAGACTTAATTATTTCATTATTATGTTATACTGACCTACTTATGTGTTTAGTATGTTTTTAATCTTGACAATGTGTTGTCCCTCGCCCCATGGTTACATTCAAGCAGGTTTTAGTACATTCTGACCAATTTGTATTTCCAGACTTAATTATTTCATTATTATGTTATACTGACCTACTTATGTGCTTAGTATGTTTTTAATCTTGACAATGTGTTGTCCCTCGCCCCATGGTTACATTCAAGTAGGTTTTAGTACATTTTGACCAATTTGTATTTCCAGACTTAGTCATTTCATTATTATGTTATACTGACCTACTTGTGTGCTTAGTATGTTTTTAATCTTGACAATGTGTTGTCCCTCGCCCCATGGTTACATTCAAGCAGGTTTTAGTACATTTTGACCAATTTGTATTTCCAGACTTAGTCATTTCATTATTATGTTATACTGACCTACTTATGAGTTTAGTATGTTTTTAATCTTGACAATGTGTTGTCCCTCACCCCATGGTTACATTCAAGCAGGTTTTAGTACATTCTGACCAATTTGTATTTCCAGACTTAATTATTTCATTATTATGTTATACTGACCTACTTATGTGCTTAGTATGTTTTTAATCTTGACAATGTGTTGTCCCTCGCCCCATGGTTACATTCAAGTAGGTTTTAGTACATTTTGACCAATTTGTATTTCCAGACTTAGTCATTTCATTATTATGTTATACTGACCTACTTATGTGCTTAGTATGTTTTTAATCTTGACAATGTGTTGTCCCTCGCCCCATGGTTACATTCAGATTCAAGCAGGTTTTAGTACATTCTGACCAATTTGTATTTCCAGACTTAGTAATTTCATTATTATGTTATACTGACCTACTTATGTGTTTAGTATGTTTTTAATCTTGACAATGTGTTGTCCCTCGCCCCATGGTTACATTCAGATTCAAGCAGGTTTTAGTACATTTTGACCAATTTGTATTTCCAGACTTAGTCATTTCATTATTATGTTATACTGACCTACTTATGTGTTTAGTATGTTTTTAATCTTGACAATGTGTTGTCCCTCGCCCCATGGTTACATTCAAGTAGGTTTTAGTACATTTTGACCAATTTGTATTTCCAGACTTAGTCATTTCATTATTATGTTATACTGACCTACTTATGTGTTTAGTATGTTTTTAATCTTGACAATGTGTTGTCCCTCACCCCATGGTTACATTCAAGCAGGTTTTAGTACATTCTGACCAATTTGTATTTCCAGACTTAATTATTTCATTATTATGTTATACTGACCTACTTATGTGCTTAGTATGTTTTTAATCTTGACAATGTGTTGTCCCTCGCCCCATGGTTACATTCAAGTAGGTTTTAGTACATTTTGACCAATTTGTATTTCCAGACTTAGTCATTTCATTATTATGTTATACTGACCTACTTATGTGCTTAGTATGTTTTTAATCTTGACAATGTGTTGTCCCTCGCCCCATGGTTACATTCAAGCAGGTTTTAGTACATGTTGACCAATTTGTATTTCCAGACTTAATTATTTCATTATTATGTTATACTGACCTACTTATGAGTTTAGTATGTTTTTAATCTTGACAATGTGTTGTCCCTCACCCCATGGTTACATTCAGATTCAAGCAGGTTTTAGTACATTGTGACCAGTTTGTATTTCCAGACTTAGTCATTTCATTATTATGTTATACTGACCTACTTATGAGTTTAGTATGTTTTTAATCTTGACAATGTGTTGTCCCTCGCCCCATGGTTACATTCAAGCAGGTTTTAGTACATTGTGACCAATTTGTATTTCCAGTCTTAGTCATTTCATTATTATGTTATACTGACCCACTTATGAGTTTAGTATGTTTTTAATCTTGACAATGTGTTGTCCCTCGCCCCATGGTTACATTCAAGTAGGTTTTAGTACATTCTGACCAATTTGTATTTCCAGACTTATTCATTTCATTATTATGTTATACTGACCTACTTATGTGCTTAGTATGTTTTTAATCTTGACAATGTGTTGTCCCTCGCCCCATGGTTACAATCAAGCAGGTTTTAGTACATTTTGACCAATTTGTATTTCCAGACTTAGTCATTTCATTATTATGTTATACTGACCTACTTATGTGTTTAGTATGTTTTTAATCTTGACAATGTGTTGTCCCTCGCCCCATGGTTACATTCAGATTCAAGCAGGTTTTAGTACATTCTGACCAATTTGTATTTCCAGACTTAGTCATTTCATTATTATGTTATACTGACCTACTTATGTGCTTAGTATGTTTTTAATCTTGACAATGTGTTGTCCCTCGCCCCATGGTTACATTCAAGCAGGTTTTAGTACATTCTGACCAATTTGTATTTCCAGACTTCATTTCATTTCATTATTATGTTATACTGACCTACTTATGAGTTTAGTATGTTTTTAATCTTGACAATGTGTTGTCCCTCGCCCCATGGTTACATTCAGATTCAAGCAGGTTTTAGTACATTCTGACCAATTTGTATTTCCAGACTTAGTCATTTCATTATTATGTTATACTGACCTACTTATGTGTTTAGTATGTTTTTAATCTTGACAATGTGTTGTCCCTCGCTCCATGGTTACATTCAGATTCAAGCAGGTTTTAGTACATTCTGACCAATTTGTATTTCCAGACTTAGTCATTTCATTATTATGTTATACTGACCTACTTATGTGTTTAGTATGTTTTTAATCTTGACAATGTGTTGTCCCTCGCTCCATGGTTACATTCAGATTCAAGCAGGTTTTAGTACATTCTGACCAATTTGTATTTCCAGACTTAGTCATTTCATTATTATGTTATACTGACCTACTTATGTGTTTAGTATGTTTTTAATCTTGACAATGTGTTGTCCCTCGCTCCATGGTTACATTCAGATTCAAGCAGGTTTTAGTACATTCTGACCAATTTGTATTTCCAGACTTAGTCATTTCATTATTATGTTATACTGACCTACTTATGTGTTTAGTATGTTTTTAATCTTGACAATGTGTTGTCCCTCGCTCCATGGTTACATTCAGATTCAAGCAGGTTTTAGTACATTCTGACCAATTTGTATTTCCAGACTTAGTCATTTCATTATTATGTTATACTGACCTACTTATGTGTTTAGTATGTTTTTAATCTTGACAATACTGCTTATTTTTATCAACATAACAATGATGGATAATTAATATCTTAGTCATCGAATAGTAATTAGTATATAAATCTTGCATAATCACGGACCATGACGTGTTTGAAGAAACTTAGATGTACTTATACGCATTCACTGAATTTATTGTTTTTATTTTCATATTAATCAATGGAAAATCATCATATTACACCATTATATTTATGTTTATGTAAACAAGTAGATTTATAACCTAAATAATTTTTGCCTCATGTCTTGCAACTCAATGCATTTATGTTATTTTCTGAAAATTTTCTGATATAAAGTATAAAGTAAAGTATATCACGTATATCATTAATCACATATGCAAGAGTTCCGTATTACTACTCTGATTGCAGCGTATACTAGACGTAATACCGGATAGAGGAAGTGAAACGGTTACCGCTGATGCAAATAGTCCGTTCGTGTGATACATGATAAAATGCTGTAATGCTATTGAGTTTACTGACAACGTGGATTTAAGGGACAACAGGCAATAACCAGAGGTAAGCGGAAAGACTGATATAATACATATGTAGTAACACGTGGAATTATGCCATACATTACAATTTGTAGAATCTTTATTTTCGATATTTACAATCAATTAAATAAAAATATGATAAGGTTGGCGCATTATAAATATATCCTAAATTAGTCAGAAAAAAATGTTATGTAATGTTTTACTTCATCAGTATATGTAGTTGAAATACTGATGGACCGGGGATCGCATCTTCGTTCACTCGGCTTCCGTCGGATGAACGCAGTGAAGACCGAGCGTGGGAAGATGGGTGATCGGAGGATGACACAAATGTAGTATTTTTGACATTGTATTTATCGTTTATACTGTTTTTCCTCTTATTTGTTTTTTCGGATTATTTGTTGAGTATACAAATATATATGGATGTGCATCCTTTTAATTTGTAGGTAAACGCTTACCAATACTCACTTATATTATGAAGAGGTATATTCTGGCGATAGTGTTGGCACTAACGGTCATACATGTAGGGGTTCTAGCTAATTCCGATTTCCGGTAGGTCAACCATTTCACTTACACAAAACAAATATGGACGTGTCAAAATATTGTTGTTACAGACCACAATCAAACAGGCGAACCCTACAAAATAATAATAAATATTATATTGATTAATAACTATTATTTTGATTAATTTCAATGCGAGTATTACAATATGGTTATACAGTAAACGCGTGTTACAGGTCGAAATTAAGACGAGCATCGGACCCAGCCAAGAAAGTCAACCGTCAATATATCATTAACTTGGGTGCGACAGTTTCAAATTCGGAAGGTCAGTCATTTTCATTCTCAAATATATTTGATCAGTGTCAAAACAACAGTAAATAATATTGATGATGATAAGCTTGATAGTATGAATAGAATAACAAATGTTTTATTTAATTTTTCGTGAATTGAATATATGTGGCACTTTAAAATGATGACATTCGCCATTAGCCTTTTGGCTTCGTTGAATATTACTTGTAAAAGATAAAGGGGATATCCTATGATCTATGACTGATGTGGTTATTCTTATACGTTTTTGTCATATCCCGAGTGAAGGAATAACAAAAACAAACATGTTCAAATTTTCATTTCCATATTTTTTCGAATTACTTTCATTATAGGTCTTACGAGGGATGATCCAGAAGTAAGGTGACAGTATCTGCCATTTCAATATTTTTTAACCAAATCCCATGACATTTTTAGAGTATTTGCACATCTATGTGCTTGAACGATACAATTACAATAATTAATAAAATTAATACGACACTCTTGATTTCCTTATAGTAATGAACCATCTTCAAGCGACAAGGGGACTCTTCACGACAGATAATGATGACAATGCCGGGGTTGATACATCAATGGTTGATGGTCGCGGTGGTTGTTGGATTAAACGGAGGGGCAAATTTATCGATATGATTGGTTTCAAAGCTTACATTGTGTCGTGTATTTCAGAAAGGTGAATGGAACTGGTTTAAGGGTTATATCATATACAAAGTGTCCTTAAGTTCTATTTACACTTTGCTTAGACTTCGTATTGAGACTTTATGGACATAAATTACAAAACTTGATGTAACTTAGCGTAGCGTAACGTAACGTAGCGTAACCTAACACAATATGATATGTACTGTGATGTGCGACTTTTATTCTTCACATAGATGCTTACGTGTTGAAGTAAATTTTGTTGATCATGAGAAATCACACGTTCAAACTTATTGATACACCCCTCACCAAAAGTTTGTCAAACGGAAGTCTCATTTTGATGACTTCGTTATAATCTTTTTGTGTGTCGTCAAATTCGTTAGGTTGCGAAATATTGCAGTAAATAAGGAACAAATAGATTCAAACGTTGTCAAGCTTTGATATACTATCAAATGAATACCTACGTTTGCCAAACTAATGGAGGGGAGTGTACTTGTTTCAATAAACTTTTATCAGTCAATAAACAATTTAATAAATCAAATCACTACTTTGCTCCTAATCCAATGATTTAAGTACGAATTTTTTAAACCCACCGCCATGTTTCATTTACATCTGGCTTTCATAATATTACTAATATTACTAGCAAGGGATAACTAATCCGAAGAGGACCATGATTCTACACATTGACGTACAAGAAACACGCATCTGGGAGAACTTGAACGTAAATGTGTAATATTATGACCCAAGGAGTTGTTGTCCACTTCTCGATCGGTTGAAAGGAGAACTTTATAACAATTATTTTCTTCGCACCTTTATAACCTCAATCGGGCAATTTAAGTTGTCCACATGGGGCCATAATTTTACTCGTTTCACGTACATGTTCTTCAAAAATGCTAACTTTAGTTTCTTATGATGTAGACATATTTTTGTAAATACTATTACGTAATGGACTTCTTGCTTAATAGTGATCTAAATCAAATCCTGGCTTTGCCAATCGTCAAATCAGTTCAAGAGAGCGTACGGTTCAGTTTGGATACAGATAAAGATCTGAACGCTGCTGCTAGAAGTCATCATGGAGGCCGTGTGAAAAGAAACGAACGACGTTGTACTATTATTAACAGTTGTGTTACGAGGAACGTCAATAGCTGGGTAAGGCCCGGATGTTGTCCAATCATCAACAGATGTGAATTAACAAAGATAATTTCATTATGGTTTGACCCCCTCCCCTCCAACCTCCGATCACAGAACTTCAAAATCCAAAATATATTCTTTCTTTCTACCCCCTGCGATAAGCAGTTAGCATTTCCCCGATTATGAAATCGCAGTCTGATTGGCTGTCGCAACACTGCGACAGAAATCATGTATAAGTCATTGCGCATAAGATCACGTGATTCAGTTTAATCGGGCGCTTCCAAATTGATTATAGCAGGGGGAAGAAGGAGGTACGGATTCTGGACACCTGCTTAGGAGGATGCCTCCCCTCATCCAACGAAATTTTAAAATGTTGATTTGTCTTTCACTTTAATATTAAAAAGTCACTAATATCCCAGTAAAATTGATATTGAAGACTTCTCATTTTATATTTAAAATTTAAAATTAAAAAACAAACATTTTATATTTTGCAAAAAACTGTGTCGGATGTCACTGATGTCTTTTTTTAAATTAAGACTCAATTAAATCACCCTCGTATTTTTTTGCATTTCTGATATACAGGGGCTTGACAGACTTGATGGTTACCTCAACAACCAACTTCTAGCAAAGGGTCTAGGAACTGACGTAGATGTCTATATTGTTGACACGTAAGTACAGAAAGGAGTAGTTAGTATAAAGCGAGTGTTAAGACCCAATTTTGATCGTCGTAATACTCACTGGCGGATCTGGGGGGGGGGGGGGGGGGGGCAGAATTTTTTTTTGCTTTTTTGGCCATTACTGGACCTTTTTATGCCTTATTTAAACAATTCTGGTCAAATTTTGTAGTAAATGGGCCTCAAAATTTGGCCCACTTGTGGGTTTTAGGGGCCCAACATTTTTTTCTCTCACCTCAGATTTGCCCCCCCCCCTTGGCCTTGTTGGTTCCCAGATCCGCCCATGATACTCGCCTGATGCTACTGAAAAGCATATTTTTGCTTGCAGTATGTCAGGTGATCGTACACAAGTGGTAAGCAAAATACGAAACCAATCAAGTAGAATAACTATAACATATGGTAGCATTTGCGTGTTCATATTGTGAACACTTAATACATATATTAATGATTTAAAGAAATATAGTTAAATACATTAAATTGTTAGGAGCTTAACTTACCGTTGAAATATGAAGTTTTGGATCTCTGAATATATATTCAAACATTCCAAGTGTGTCTCAGCCAATTACTCAGATGCGAGTAGCTGGGTAGTTACCAGTTTCGCCACCAGGTGGCTAATTCGGGGGATATAGCATGGCAGGGTGTTACAAAGTTCCCGTAAACTTGAATATTAATCAGTTTAAGTTTCCAAAAGTGACATCAGTTTGACTGGATTTTGAATTTTAAATGACGTAAATCTGAAGTAGACTAATTAGCGCTTGTTTTGTATGCGCGCTACACACATTACTGTATTGATTCATGGACTTTTCGTTCGTGGTAACGTTGTGAAAAACATTGCAAGCTTAATGTCTCCATTCTATATAAGGTTCAACTGATGAATGGAATGGACATTCCATTCCTTCGTGGGATTACATGTATGGGTTATTACATGCAATCGTGCTTTTAAATTTTCAATACAGAATGAACGAAAGAGTAATATTTCTTCCTTAAATGCATGTAATGACATAAATAAATATACTATAATACAATGACCATGAATATGTCAGTAGAAAGAAAAGTATCAATTCGTTTATAATTATAATTTTTCAGAGGAGTTAGATACACTCACGAAGAATTCTGTGGTCGGGTTGAGACTGTAAGTTAATTTTTTTCTACTCCTACATTTTCTTAATCTATGTTCAAAGAGCAAAAACGACTCAAGGAAGCTTTTATTTTATTTGATTATTATACGTGTATTTATTCCATTAGTTCATAAGTAGAAATTGCACAGGTTTATAAAACATAACCGACTATGTGAGATTAGCTAAAATGAAGAAAAAAAGTTTGACTCAGTTCGAAAAGTGTATTTTTTGAGGTCGAAATCAATTTCTTTATCAAAAACTTGAAAAGAAGCAGAGCCGATATTATTGGTTGTTATCGTGATAAAAAACGTAATGGAATTTTTTAGGGGAAAAACTTCGTAGATACTGGCTCATCCGCCGATGACGACCATGGGCACGGGACTCATGTTGCGGGTATGTAGCATTTGTAGCTCGTCTTTCTACCCTCCTGATATAACAAGGTGATGCATTCCACCTGCGGGAATTTACTAGTGTTCACCAGTTTAGGCTAGATGAATTATGTCAATGCACTTTTGAATTACATGGATACAGTTATGAATTATGTCATCGCACTTTCGAATTACATGGATACAGTTATGAATTATATCATCGCACTTTTGAATTACATGGATACCATTATGAATTATGTCATCGCACTTTTGAACTTCGTTGATACTATTATGAATTATGTCACCGCACTTTTGAATTACATGGATACAAAAATGAATTTTGTCATCGCACTTTTGAATAACATGGATACATTTATGAATTATGTCAATGCACTCTTGTATAACATGGATACAATTATGAATTGTTATCACACTTTTGAATTACATGGATACAGTTATGAATTATGTCATCGCACTTTTGAATTACATGGATACAGTTATGAATTCTGTCATCGCACTTTTGAATTACATGGATACCATTATAAATTATGTCATCGCACTTTTGAACTTTATGGATACTATTATGAATTATGTCACCGCACTTTTGAATTACATGGATACAATAAAGAATTTTGTCATCGCACTTTTGAATAACATGGATACAATAATGGATTTTGTCATCGCACTTTTCAATTACATGGATACAGTTATGAATTATGTCATCGCACTTTTGATTTACATGGATACAATTACGTGGATACAATAATGAATTATGCCATCGCACTTTTGAATTACATGAATTGTGTCATCACACTTTTGATTTACGTGGATACAATAATGAATTATGTCATCGCACTTTTGAATTACATGGATACAGTTATGAATTATGTCATCGCACTTTTGAATTATATGGATACAGTTATTAATTATTGCCCCGCACTTTTGAATTACGTGGATACAATAATGAATTATGTCATCGCACTATTAGTAAATATAGTGACATTGATGAATTATTATTTGTCAGCTCTGAAAGTAGTATAACGCCGGTTAAAGTTCATAACAATTATCATATAATGCATAGAACAAAACAGCAGTTACAACTTGAAATTGTTCTATATTCTTTAAACATGTTATAACTCCACAGTTATTAATGAAGGTCTCACACCACTAAATACATATAAATATATGTCAACAATCTATGGGTTTATTATTTGAAATACTACAATTATCATATAAAGATGGTTGACACTTGGTGTTTAGGTACTGCCGCGGGACAGAAAACAGGGGTTGCCCGTAATGCAACTATTATACCTGTTAAAGTGATGGATGCTCAGGGCTTGGGAACTTCAGCGTAAGTAAGGATCCGTACCTATTAGTGTACCTATAAGAACTTAGAAAATGATTGAAAAGGGTAAAATGGAATTCCAGAATTATTTTTATGCAATTTGAATCTTTATTAAGTATATTTTCAACAAATCACAAAAATAGTGTGGAAATAATGGTAAAAATGTGTTTTTACAGTGATTCTTAACACATGTCATGTTGACTCTTCAAATGAGTAATTTTGACATATTTTCACAGAACCTTGATTAAAATCTTGAGTTTTGTAGATAGACTTAATTTCTCTTTTCAATATAAGAATTACAATGTGTCCTAATCTACTAAGCTTCACTTCATGTACCATTCATGCATAAATAGTTAGTAATCCTATTGTATTGAAAGACACCCTATTGTGTTTTTGTTGTAAACAGTGAATGACCTTCTCCATTCATTGACAGATTGAGGTACTTCCACAAACCAGACCCCCTCTGAATTTACCTTTATTGTTTAGTATTGACACTATTTTATAATTCAAACATGAAATAAGAGAGGGTCCTAAGTGTGGAAGATACACAATATGAAAGTATAGCAAAAATTTTAGTTTTAAAAAGGAGGCCATATTGAAATTGCCAGAATCCATTCTGCCTTGAATGTATTGCTTAAGGTAGATGCAACACAAAACCTTCTGCAAAAATCGAAAATCTTATTTGGAAAGACATTCTGAACTGAACCTTGCAACAAACTCTGTCATTTACTATAACGATTGTGTCAACGTATTACGCAACAGAGACATCCAACCCGGGTTCCCATAGATAATTCTGAGGACCATGTTCAAACCTCTAAACAGACATGTATTCAATTATCAATGATAACAAGATCAAAGGAAACATGTGTCATTTGCAATAAAGCAATTAAATCACCGGTAACTTAAAATATGTTTTTCAAAAATCTGTTCATGGGGTATACTATTAGAACATGTGATATGTAAGCAATGAGCCTGATAATCGAAAAAATATGTTTCGTATAGTCATTTGTTTGAATGGATATTGCATGTTAAAGTGTTCATATGAAATAAACTAAGACCATTATGTCATCTATCATTGTTTTAATTTCTTTGACAATGCCAAATGAAAACATAATACAATGGAAAGTCTCAACTAGATTTAGCTTGAATTTAGGTTTTGTATTTTCAACTGTTGCTCTTTGTGTTCTACCTATGTTTGTGTTCTATCTTTAATGATGTTTTGACATATATAATAGTATCTAGGTTGAATACCTAGGTTAAAGCTACAGTATTCACAATAAGGGTGATCATGGTACTAACATGGTACTTGTTCAGAACACATTTAACAAGGTTCATTTTACCATATGATATATTATTTTTAGGGTTTATTTTATGATTTGTGTTTTCAGTATGTTGCCATTTGTGTCCCACCTTAATGATATTTTAATATACCCTCTAGGTTGAATGCCTACTGTATATCAACTGAGGTGATCATGGTACTATTGTTCAGAACACTTTTATTAAGGTTCATTTTTTCAAAAGATATATTAAGTTTTTAGTTTTTTTTTATAATATGTGTTTTCAATATGTTGCCCTTTGTGTTCTACCTTTACGATGTTCTGATATATCGATTGAGGAATGGTCAACATACTTAAAATGATCATGATTGAAGACTAACATACCCCTAAATGATATTTAGAATGATTTGTGTTGTCAAACTTAAATGCACTGAATGACCTTAGTTTTAATCCAAATGACCTAATTTCATTTTTGATGTGTTCATAATTGATAAAAGTAACTATTTCCATATTATTTTCAATGAAACCTTTGGGGGCAGCTTCAGGTACATTAGGTAACGGATCCTTTGTATTTCTTTATTTTCTCCTCTAGGGAGCAAACACAATTAGAGTATAAAGTCGTACATTTTTAAATCCGTGACTCTTGGTTTGTTGAAAATATAAAAAGCAAACAAATTAACTTCCTTCAATGATACAGCATTACATATATTCCTACCGACAAACAAATATCCAAAGATTTGTGACATTAAAGGAATCGGACCGATGTAGCTTTTGTAGCAAACACATAACAATATTGTTTAATACACTTTTATCTCGTACAAGATGTAAATGTTCGAATTTGCGTCCAAATTTGCGTTTATTGGACTTAAGACAAGTATAGAACAATATTGTTAATTAATAGATGCAGAAGTTGGAAGGGGAGAAAATAGGAGGATATTAAAAATGTACATGTATTGTACCTACACTGTTAATGTTTCTTTCCACGTGGAAGTAATTAATATTTATTTATTCATTTTTATTTATTTATTTCATGATAATATAACAATGGAATGTACAAAGCATGTGCACTCGACTCTTAGTAATTGAGCGTATCAAAAATTATTACAGAGCAATAAAAAAACATATAATATATAACAGTATAACATACGTTATCTAAATTGTTTAGATGTAATACAGAAACTTTGAAGTCTTGATAGAAATAATTAATTTAAATAGAATGTGATCTTATAAGATATTTTCATTTATCTTTTTTCAAAAGGTCATTTTTAATGTTGCGTTTAAAAGAATTCAAAGTTTTACATGATCGAAATACAATTGGCAAAGAATTCCATAAAATAGCACCAGAATATGTCACTGATCTTTTTGTCAATTCAGTTTTTATTTTTCTGGGGCGTATATTATATAACCGTCTTGTAGTATGATTACCAACATTATGATTGTACATGTAAAGTATTTTTTAAAAAGATAAGCAGGAATATTCGATGGTTCCTTGACACAATTATACATAAATTTTGATTTGATGTCTCTAACCTGTGAATGTCAAAAATTGTTAAGATTTTCATTTCCCTAAATAATGGTACATTAGGTTGTTGATAATCTGCATTACAAATCAGTCTTACAACTTCTTTCTGAAGATTAAGTAATGGTGTAAGTAATGATTTGTTGGCATTACCCCATATGATGCTGCAATATGAAATATGTGAATAAACAAGTGAATAGTAAATGTCTAACAAAGCAAGTCTTGATAGTTTATTTCTTACTTTGAAATATGTTAACATTAAAAGTAATATGTAAATATGTTCATTTTTGTTTGTACATTTTATCACTATAAACCAATTAATATTATTGTAAATTGTATATGACCTTGTATCATGTATTATTTAAATATTATCAATCTTCATCATTAATTATAAATTCTTCAAACCTAAACAGAATAAACATGTCTGATAAATCTAGTGACATATAAAACTGATTTTACACAAGCGAATTAGAAGAGTTGATTTTTATACGGTTGCAAGATCATCAGCATTGTTTAGTTCAATGCGGATTTATTTCAATTACCAAGATAATATAACTAGGGTAAAACATTATGGAATTTATTTTGTATCAAAACGATACAAATATCAATACGCGATCCATGTGAAAAATCGAACCATATGATGCGACACTCTAACTATACGATTCGAAAATCGCACCATAATATGCGAAATATGCAACATATGCAAAACTCGCATCATTGTATGAGATTTTTTGTTATACCAATAGTTAATTGTCTAACGTAACTTATTTTAATTTACTCACGCACTGGTATGGTGTTAAAACTGTATCAAAATTGGACATCTTATGTTTATGCGATATCTCTAACACATAAAATAGAATAGCGTTTAGCAGAATACATACACAATTCGTGTGATTTCATTTGTTCGAGTTTGCACACTCTACAGTATGTTTGTAAAATCACACTTGTACATGCGTATTTGTGTTTACATCTACATTCTATATCAACACACGTTGTTTCATCCTATGACGATTGTCGGGGGTATTCTCGTTTTATAATTTACCCCCCTATCACACCAAAACTAGTTTTTACCCGTTCTTGCCAGTCCTACGAAAATGTCGTAAAACGGGCTCAGTCTGGCTGTGGTCGGGAAATATGTCTAAAATAATTAGCTACTTCGTTCATAAACAGTCTTCAATACGTCCGTCTCATTCGCAGTTCGTTCAGGTCACACCACTTCGGTGTGCAACGTCCGGGAAAGTCAATGAAGTTTGTAAACAGACCGCAGAACGTTGTAGCTACGTTCATTCTGTTCGCACACAGTTTAAAACCAGTTTTGAAGAACGCAGTGGCAACTTTTTTGGTGTGATAGCTATATTTTTGCTAACTCGTTCATAAGCAGTCTTCAATACGTTCTTTATCAGTTTAAACCCGTTTGCAATTAGTTCTACCTCGTTCTCAATACGTCCTCAGACAGTTCAACTCGTTGTAAAAACGTCCTTAGTAGGATTGAAATACGACGGTTCCGTTCGTATTACGTCCAGCTCGTTGTTAGTACGTTGTCACTCGTTCTAATTGTAGAACGTGACGACCACGAGAACATTTTGAGCATGTTCTAAGTTCTGCAGGGCGTCCACAAAAAAAGTATACCCAACTTCAAAGCCAGGATACTAAAATTCTGAGCATTTAAAAAATACAAATGTAGCAGTAAACGATCTATTTTGTTCTCCATCCAATGGTACCTAGATCATTATGTAACTGTCATGCATGACTGAGCAATCGTGACTTTTATGAAAGGTGGTAAAATCAGCACTGTGCCAAGTTAGCATTCAAGTAAGAATGACAAAGTGGATGTTTTTTTGTGTTAAAAACATTATTAATGTTCAAATTTAAACTTGTTTTGTGTTCTTCACACTTTTACATAATTCTGTATAATTTGTTGTTTGTACCCCCCCCCTCAAGAAATTGAATCCGAAGAGCCTTTTTATCAGCAATGAAACCTCTACTTGATGATATGCAGCTTTGAAGTCAATTGTACCCCCATGTAAAGTCAATAACCTTTGCTGAAATCCTCATTTTCTGAGAAGAACTCAAGTTTATTGAGTATAAACAAGTAGATTCATATGGGACAGTATTGCTAGAATCCATTTCAATAGTAAGAATAAGGGTTCTGTAAACAGTACATGAGACTTACTTTTTAGAACTTTTTGTTGGTTCTTACTGCTCAGGTGTCAGTTGAACCATTTTTGAAGGCCTATGTTAGAAGTTTAAGCTTTTTGCCAAACCTTTTTTCATCTGAGAGTTACTCAGTCCCAAGTCCTGTTCAGTATGGAAGGCCTGTCATCTCAATTATTGTAACAGAAAAAAGAATACTAAGCCAATTACACATCAATTGCCACACAGGAAGGTAACTTGGCACAGTGCTAATTTTACCACCTCTCATAATGGTCAAGATTACTCAGTCATACATGACACTTACATGATGATCTTGGTACCATTTGATGGAGAATAAATCAGGCTTTTTACTACTATCTCAGGATTCTAGTAATTTGGTTTTAAAGTTGGGTATACTTTTTGTGGACGCCCTGTAGAGGACTTACCCGTTCGAGTACGTTCGATGAAGTTTGTAAATAAACCCAAAACGGTTATAAGTACGTCCAGTCCGTTCGTACACAGTTGAAGCCCGTTTTCGAGAACGTAGTGAGAACTAGTTTGGTGTGATAGTAGGGTAATTAACACATGGACGCATGTGTTTATTCTTTTTTTGCAAACAACAAACGTGCAATTTTTAAACCTAGCTGTTATTCATACTTTTTACAGGGGAATCGTGTCAGGACTGGGGTGGATTGTGCAACAATATAGAAGCAGAGGAAGAAAGGCTGTTATCAAGTAATTGAATATATATTTAGCCTCAGGAGTTGACGAATAGTTTTACAATTACTTACACTAACATAGCCTCAGGGCTTCGTGGGATTTCACTTGTGAAAGATGCCCGGGTATTCACCTCAATAGAGTGAAATATTTATTCAATATCAATCAAAAAATATATTTTAATACATGGTAAAACATTCCTACGTAATATAATCAGGTTATTTCCCCAGTTGTCGATTTGAAATTTCATTCCAAATCAGCTGTTTCTATTCTTATTGTAGTGATAAAGGAATTGACAAATATTTGAAAATTACCTCCTGTTCAAGTTCCAATCATTTTTATAGATTATATTGATAGATTTAATATCACTGAATATGGTATTGCTTGTTGAGGATCACACAACATTACCGTTTATCATTTATTTGAGATTTAAGCAGGGGTCCATTTTTTAAAGAAATAATCATTTTAAAAGATTTCTTGTGAATAGATAATAAATAAGTACAAAAAGCATGAATTATTACATATCAAGAGCATAATGTAAAATTTCAACTGAAAAATTAGATCAAAATGGCATCCATGTTAACAGAGGGGGGTATAACTCATCAAACACTGGATAATTTTTTAAAGCTTATTGTTACAGCCTAATGTTTTTAATTTGCTTTTTTTAATTAGGATTATAGCATTGACCATTTATGAATTTTTGAGCACCATACAAAGTTACAGAACTTCATTTATGAACGATTTTAGCAGGGGTCTATTTTACAAATATTCAATATTTTCCCGGATAGTTCTTAGATGAAAAGCTAGTACATTGTTACGATTAAATTACATCATTGAGGTGTATAAATCATGAAAACAGGTTTCATCCTGATGTCTTCAACCTAATTCGTATAACGACATGTCACAAATGGGGGGAGTGGACATTGACCTTCACTTGGGGATCTTTATTACTTATATGATTTCAATATTACAGTAATGTCGGTATCATTATAAACAGGCATTAAATGAGTATAGACTTTTATAAATACGTTGACAGCAAGAAGATATATACAATTTAAACTGTAAAATGAGATAACAATAGGCTCTAAAATCACAATGATTGGTGTAACTAATCAAATTTTTACTTTATCATCCTCCTAAGCAGGTGTCCAGAATCCGTACCTCCTTCTTCCCCCTGCTATAACCAATTTGGACGCGCCCGATTTAACTGAACCACGTGATCTAATTATGCGCAATGACTTATACATGATTTCTGTCGCAGTGTTGCGACAGCCAATCAGATTGCGAGTTCTTAATCGGGGAAATGATAACTGCTTATCGCAGGGGGAAAAAAGAAAGAATATGTTCTAGATTTTGAAGCCCTGTGATCGGAGGATGTACTTTATAAGCTTAGTATTATGTCCTAACAATTTAAATTAATTAATAGTTATCCCATTGAACGAAGTTCGGAGGGATATAGGGAACAGGCCTCCGTCCGTCCGTTCGTCCGTCCGCCCGAAGACAATGAATGAAGAAACTAATGCAGCAACAACAAATGACGTCCGTCCGTACGTACATCCGTTCGGGTAATAACTCAAATACCGTTGGCTCAATTTTGTTCATATTTCGTACATATATATCCTATGGGGGTAGAAGTTCTGCTCGAAAACCGAATTTACAGTTATTTAGGTGCAATATGTAAAACTGTAATAGCAATATCTTTTAAATGAAAAAATATTATATAGGACATTAATAAAGCTAGAAATGTAGATATTAAAGAAGCACGTGGCAGCCATCTTGAAAAATGGTGGCCTTTACTTGTTATTTTACGATTTTTGCTGTAACTTGAAAAGTAGTGGAGTGATTTCGTTCATATTTGGTATGTGAATACTATAAGCATGGCACACTTTCTAATGACACTTTTGGTAGAAGGCAGCCATTTTAAACATAACCACCATTTTAACGTATTTTACTAGAACTCGAAAAGTTGTGGAGCGATTTTGATCATCTCTGGTATGTGAATACTATAAAACATGGCACACTGAATTTTTTGAATATCTTAAAGTGGTTCAGATTTTCATTTATTGAAGATTTAATTCAAGATTAATTCAAAAAGATGAATATTTTTGTGGACAGTTCTCAAATCAGTTACTATTATTACCACCTTGCGGGGCATGTTTTAGGGGTATTAGTACTAGTTTAGGTGGCATTTATGTTACTATATTGACCTTTGCAAAAATTCTAATAACGTCATTTATGCGGGCAATATTAAACAAATACTGGATGATCAGGAGCTGGATATGACAGAAAAATGTCGAGAGAAAAATATTGGGCGAGACGGTATTAATTGATTTCAATAGAAAGTTTGGGTTCTAGCTTTGCCTCATGGGACAGCCTATTTTCTACTAAATAAAATAATCAGGGTAAACGCTTTTCTATTTCTAAATAAAATAATCAGTCTATTACTAAAATTATTTGCTTGTAGAGATGCTTGTAGAGCCTATATCGCAAAAATCATATATCCTTTCACCCCACTTCATATCATATGTTTTATTGATGTTAAAATCCATTTTTATAAATAGTGGGAATAAATTCCTAACTCATCTTAGATTATGATTTAAATGCGATATTGTATGCGATCAAATGCTTTTTCCAAGATTTTAAAATGTAAACAGTGCTCAGTTTCAGTGCTCAATAAGTAAAAACGTATGTAGGAATATAGGCAGAAACAATTTGCAGATTAACGAAAACAAGATTGTGTTCAAAGAAAGTGAACTAAATGGACCATTATTTTTAATCATGTTGAATGCAAAATATAGTCAGACATATTTTCAATTAAACAGATAAAATCAATATATCATGCTAATGACCTTTCCAAAAGCCGATTCATAAGTGGAAAATTCGTTGTTAACTTCAAAAGTGTCAATATCTAATTTGTCATTATTATGGACCTCTGTTAAACCCCTAAACGATAAGTAAACGGTAATGTTGACAGGTCCCCAACGGGTGAAAACGTATGTAGGAATATATGTTTTATCATTTAAACATATCATTAACAATTGGTAGATCAACGAAAAACAAGATGATGTTAAAAGAAAGTGAACTAAATGGAACCGTTATTTTTTATCATTTTGAATGCAAAATATAGTCAAACAGACGATCTTAGTTCCAATTAAACAGATAAAATCAATATGGCATACTAATATTAATAACCTTTCCAAAAAATTTCAAAATATCAAAATCTAATATTTTTTATATTTCTGTGAACCCCTGTTCAACCCCTCAATAATTAATAAATAAGTTTATTGGTCTCTTGAACATCTAATGTAAATCGAGATAAAATCAATATGTTATACTAGTAAACTTTCCAAAAGCCGATTATTGACCAGATAATCTGTTGTAAACTTCAAAACTATCAAAATCTAATATTTTTGTTGACCCCTCCCTGTTAAACCCCTCCATAATAAGTAAATGGTAAAGTCCTCAACAGGTGAACATGTACCCCAACGGGTGAAAACGTATGTAATAATATATGTTTTATCATTTACACATATCATTTAACAATTGGCGGATCAACAAAAACAAGATGATGTTAAAAGAAAGTGAACAAAATGGAACAATTATTTCTTATCATTTTGAATGCAAAATATAATCAGACAGACAATCTTATTTTCAATTAAACAGATAAAATCAATAGGTCATGCTAATAACCTTCTCGAAAACCGATTCATGAGTAGATAATCCTTTGTAAACTTCAAAAATACCAAAATCTAATATTTTTATTTTTTTGTGGACCCCTGTCAAACCCCTAAATAATAAGTAAATGGTAATGTTGACAAGTGCTCAACATGCGAAAACGTATGTAGGAATATATGTTTTATCATTTAAACATATCAAAACAATTGGCGGATCAACAAAAAACAAGATGATGTTAAAAGAAAGTGAACTAAATGGAACAATTAATTTTAATCATTTTAAATGCAAAATATAGTCAGACAGGTGATCTTATTTTCAATTAAACAGATAAAATCAATATGCCATGCTAATAACCTTCCCAAAAACCGATTCATAAGTAGACAATATGTTGTAAACTTCAAAAATATCAAAATCGAATATTTTTTATTTTTTGTGGACCCCTGTTAAACCCCTCAATAATAAGTAAATGGTAATGTTGACAAGTGCTCAACAAGTGAAAACGTATGCAGGAATATTTGTTTTATCATTTAAACTTATCAAAACGATTGGAGGATGAACAGGAGGTAACAGCTTAATTAAGGCTTATCTGAGAAATTCCATTATCACTATTGGTTGTTATGCTCATTTTAAGAAGATCGCGCATGCGCAAATCTCCACGAGTGTGAAACATCGATTTCTATTCTGTAAGGTAGAACTCTCCTTACTTTTTGTACCATTGGGATACATGTTAAATTGACAAAGCTCAATTTAGAATTTCTCAAATCGCAGCCCATCGATTTTCAAAGAATCTCAGAGAAATTCAGTACTACATCTCACCTTCATGTAGAAAAATTCAACAAAAATATCCCAGGAAAATGAAAAGTTCTGCTGTCTTACATACTTGGAGTACTAAAACGTCATCATATTAATGTAAATTGACCAATTCACTACTACCAAGGTCATCCATCCGCAGAAAATAATCCCAAAGATTTTAACGTTCACTGTTATGCTCACATGTTTCCCAGTTATTCTGAGCATTATATGCCTGCACATTAGAGTATTCTATCCAAAGATGGTGCTGTAGTATACCATTGAAGCCCCCGAATAGGTTTTGAAATCAGAGTTATTTTGGGTCCTTAACAACATTAAACTTAACAATTAGGAAGATATTTAATGTCCCTATATATCGATAATTATTGAATGGTATGTTGAAAGTAATTTCCGCATAGCAGGCGACCAAAACCCAGAATGAATTTAAACAGCCAGCAATTTACATTATTATGCACCTCATTAAAATAATCAAATCTGATTGGTTAAGAGTTACAGGGTCTATTGCCATACGTGGCAGCAAGATCTCGTTCTATCCAGTATTGAAGCAACGAGATCTCCAATCATCCCGTATGCCAGAATATCTATCCTCGAAAAAATACCAGGCTCGGCTTCTGTTTTAGTAGACCCATTATTTAAAATAAAGTGTTTCTTGACAATTTAACACCATCTTTTATTTATCCAAAGTAAATTAATGGTAGGAATATGATATTAACCAAGGAAGGTGCATTATAAAATAAATAGATAGATTTTACAATTTTTAGTGACATCTAAACTGTTGTTGATGAGTGATTTCTTTAAATTGAAAATTGTTCGGTCAAAAAATAAACACCATGCATTTAGTAGCCCTCTGTACACAAAAGTGTAAAATAATTCAACACAACTGCTGAATAATTTCATTAAATCCAAGGTTTCGGATACCGTTGGATTCTTTTTCGATACTTATCTTAATTCAACCAAACTGTCTTTAATTAACTAGGACATTGAGATGATTACGAAGCATATGTGTATCTTAGTTTGTTCGAATTAGCTTCAGAAAATTGTTAAAAAATCCCAAGGAATTGGTAGCAAAAAGAAAATACTGTGTTGGATGGGTCACTAAAAATTATATAAACAAATTGGTAAATAATTATCAAATAAAATTGGTACAGTTGAAAAGGTGACTATTGCATTGCAGCTGTCTATTTTTTCATATTTTTTGGAAATACTGGTTTCAGAGAAAAAAATATTGAATTTAGTACTCCATATTGATACCTATCCTTTATATTTGATCGGATCGAATATAGTTTCGAAGCGTCTTTACATATCTGTTGTGTAAGACAGTCAATAATATGTGGGATAATAGGTATCATTTGTTGTAACTGTCTTTGCTTATGTTCGGTTTAATTTACTCCGTGCGGTAAAAACCAAAGATATTAATGTTGCGAATATTGGTGCAATAAATACACGATACATACTACACGGTGCCCATGTCAAGCTGCGCGCCTACTAGGCACGCAGTTTGAAACTCTGACAAACTGCGCGCATATTTCAAAATGGAAAACAGGGACGACACGACACCTAAAAAGAGCCAAAATACGAAAAATACAAGGTTAGTCTCGTTCTAAAGATAGAACCATTCTGTGAAGATGAACTTAATTTACTCATAGTACTCAATGTTGTTCCCGATGTAAACCTAGTTATCTCAATATAAGGGTCTTAAGTAACTTCTGTGTTCAAAATTTACAGTGTAAAGTTATATCTATGTCTTTTTATCGTCATTAGCCGTTTATTCAGCCATTGAGTCTGTGTATGCTAGAATATATAGGATCACTCCATCTGATTGAAGCAGCATAGTTTGTGTTCAAAACGATAATACGCCATAAACGTGATTTAAACATTTCTCTTGTCAAACTGGGCGCCTATATTCACTTGTATTTCCCAAACCGCGTGCCTAATATTTCCGGACTGCTTGCCTATCCAAGCTTGTTTTGTATTATTAGAAAACGTAAGCGCCATTTGTAAGCCACATATGTATCTAATAGTAGAGCCCCATAATTGAAATACTATGTGAGTCCAATCAGTCCATCCACCAAGATGATGATCTGGAAATAAAAGTTTAATTGTTACTTCTATTATACATTTTGAATTTCAATATGAAAATCTCATAAAATCTGACGATAAAGGAAAATTTCCAAATTTATATTAAAAACACCAACACACCTGCCTCTGTAGAAATTCCAATGATAATATGTAGTTTTGATAGTGTATACGCGCAGTTTGTAATTTCCTGGCTAAAATAGGCGCGCAGTTTGTGCTTTATTTCCTTTTAATCTCCTGATTATCTGGTTTATCTCGAAATATTTTGAACTATACATGATAAATGCTTAAGGAATTAAATATAAAACGAGTCTGAAGTATCTATCATTTATGTTTAAAGTGCTAGATCAATTTACGTATAAATTCCCTTTAAATCTGTGACGAAAATGCCATTAATCTGCTTATGTTTTACAACTTCGATCCATTTGTACATAGTTTTTGCTAGTATTTGCAAGATTCGTATATTCGCCACAGAATGAACGTATTAAACAAGAAAACAATGCAGGATAAATGTCTTAAAATTACGTTTCAAAATTCAGACTCCAACTTGAATGATGCAATGATGTTAGGCACGCAGTTTGTGATCGAAACAAACTGCGCGCCTAAGTAGGCGCGCATCTTGACATGGGCTCCGTGTACTAGACAATTGATTTATATGAAACTCAGACAGTTTCAAGCAAACTAACAACACCACCGTGAACACTGTCTCATGTTAACGATTGAGCATCCAACTCCTCTTATTATAAAAGCTGAAGCCAACGGTAAATAACCTTTTGATCGACTCTTGTAATGAAGGGGGTTGAATTCTATGCATTATAGGTGTGAGAAAAAATGGGCAGACAAAATAAAATGATAAAATATTGTTTAATGCTGATTTACAGTATGTCTATTGGGTGTCCATGCAATGCTCCTGATATGAACAATGCCGTTAAAGCTGCGGTAGATGAAGGAATAGTTGATGTAGTTTCTGCTGGAAACGATAATGTAGACGCTTGCAGCGACTCACCCGCTAAAGAACCATCAGCGTAAGTTTTTTTATAATCTGTTTCATTTCCTTATATCATAGTTTTCAATTCTAGTTAATAATAATTGCGACCAATGGCTAAGATGTTAGCATTTTGAGAAGATGATGTGTTTCAGAAATAGGAGGCCATCTTGAGCATTTAAGTAGAATAGTCTGAAAAAATTGTTACTAGTTTAAAAATCAAAATATTCTGATCAGCGTAAGAAAAGAGAAGAACTTTTCTATGGAACATTTGGATCCACAACTGCGAGCGCAATTTCTCACTTTTCTTTCTTGTATTATGTTACCATACAAAGTTATTCAGGATATGAAAATATATATTATGTTCAAGATGCCATTCTAAGTATTTAGATTTTCAAATTGTATCAACGAATTTCTTATTTATAAAATCCTTACCCTACTATCACACCAAACTAGTTCTCACTACGTTCTCGAAAACGGGCTTCAACTGTGTACGAACGGACTGGACCTACTAAGAACCGTTTGGGATCTATTTACAAACTTCATCGAACGTACTCGAACGGGTAGGTCCTCTAGAACTTAGACAATGCTCAAAATGTTCTCGTGGTTGTCACGTTCTACAATTAGAACGAGTGAAAACGTACTAACGACGAGCTGGACGTACTACGAACGGAACCGTCCTACTTCAATCCTACTAGGGACGTTTTAACAACGAGTTGAACTGTCTGAGGACGTGTTTGGAACGAGGTAAAACTAATTGCAAACGGGTTTAAACTGATTAAAAACGTATTTAACACTGCTTATGAACGAGTTAGCAAAAATATAGCTATCACACCAAACAAGTTGCCACTGCGTTCTCCAAAACTGGTTTTAAACTGTGTGCGAACGGAATGAACGTAGCTGCAACTTTCTAAGGTCTATTTACGAACTTTATGAACGTTCTCAGACGGGAATGTGATTTTAGAATTTTGAATCGATTCAAAATTTGATGGCGACTATGCCGTTCTGTAATCAGGTCATGTTGACCTTCTAGACTAAGGGACGCGATCTACTACGTTGCACACCGACGTGGTGCGACCTGAACGAACTGCGAACGAGATGGACGTATTGAAGACTGTTTAAGAACGAAGAAGCTAATTATTTCAGACATATTTCCCGACCACAGCCAGATTGAGCCCGTTTTACGACGTTTTCGTAGGACTGGCAAGAACGGGTAAGAACTAGTTTGGTGTGATAGGGGGGTTAGAATTAAATCTGGCCATAGCATTCTGGTCTCTTCCGTGTAGCCAAATATTGTATAGTTGTGATCGATGGTAGTGTAAACATCGTCATATGCAATATATGCTGCCGTTTAACAAACTATGACTTTGTGCTTTTAGTATAACTGTTGCATCATCCACCAACTCGGACAGTAGGTCAGTTTTCTCTAACTATGGAACTTGCGTCGACATCTACGCTCCAGTAAGTGTTGCTTTCAACAATTTATCCCATACTTGGTTAAAGTAAATTTTGGTTCAAAATTAATATACCATAAATGTTCTAAGATATAAAACGACTCGTTCCTTTCAATAATGTCTGTTTTCAAGGGCTCAAACATCTACAGTGCATCGTATACTAGTGATAGCGCTTACGAAACCAGAAGTGGTACATCAATGGCCGCTCCACATGTAGTAAGTATTTGCCCTTTCAGCTCACATATAACATTTTACATTTTCATTCAAAAGAATGAAAAACGTAAAATAAAAAGCGTAATATTTATATTATGTATATATTCTAAAGCATGGGATCATATTTACACTGTAACTGCATTACAAATGCAATAATTTAAGAATATATTACAAATCCACTGGTCTATAATTATGCATTTGAGTATTAATCTTTCATGATTATTTAATATTTTGTGATTTCATCATATCACTTCAAACACGGCATACAAAATGGAGAATATGAAATAAGATCCTGAGCAATAGTCGTTTGAGGCTTCTCACTGTAAAGGTTTTATGCTACCCGTTCTAGTTTCGCTTTCACTATTGCATGTGCAATTGGCGCATGCGCCTGTCAATAAAGTTGAGTTCCGCCCAAAAGTATCTCGTTCTGTATTTCTTAACTCCCTGTATTTATCAGTGAAATACATGACACTCACAATATGTATATGTTTACAGGCAGGTGTCGTTGCAAAGTATCTTAGCACAGTTAGTTATAATCCATCCCCTGCTCAAGTCAGGATCTGGCTTATTAACAAGTAAGTCCCTTTCACAAATAAATGCATTCGGTAAATCCAGTAAATAGAGTATAGTGTCCGCATACATACAGTTTGAATATAATTAAATAAGAATTTTTTTTCAAAATAAATAGAGTGTTCCCTCCGAAACGTATTCGTCTCAAGGAGAGAATGCACAGATGAAGCAAAAGTAAAATAATCTCTGAAATATCGATGTGATTTTACCTGTTAAATCATCATGCTTTTTCCATCTGCTTTTCGGAACATTTTTTGTAAGACAAAAATTCCAACGGAACGAAAAAAAGAACTAGATAAACATGGCACACGTACGCATGCGTGATTGTAAGTCCAAGCATCGAAGTAAAAATTGCCAGCACAGTATCCAATACACATGAGTGAAATAATTCCCGTTGACACCAAAGTGAAATTGCAAATCTCCCGTTCTGAACAAGAAGCTGAAGCTGATCGGCTATCTGAAGTAGACTAATTATAGCGCTTGTTTTGTATATACATTTCTGTATTGATTCATGGACTTTGCGTTCACGGTAACGTAAAGCGTCCATTTACTTGATGTTTTAGTACTAAACAATTTTTCAAAAAAAAATGTTTAAGAACCCCTATTCTTACTTTTGAAAATGGATTCTAGCAGGACATTAGGCTTGTTTTTTGGAACTTTTTGTTGGTACTATTTCCTTGTATGTTGTATTCCATCATTTACGTTGTAGCTCCCTTAAAAATCAGATCACCAACAATCCATATGGACCAAATGACCTCCTACAAGCAGTCGAATGTTAATGGTCTTAGACTGGTCAGCAAACTGCAACTGGAACAAGTGAATCGATAACAAAATCGTACACAGATTTGATTAACATTGCAATGTATACTCGATATACGAGGAATACTAATAAATACTATAAGCTATTAAGCTGTAGAGGTAAATCAAAGCAATATGTTTTAATAATTCTTAATTTATAGACGAATGATATTCTGAACCAAATCTAAGAAATCAGACGGTCGGCAAAACAACAGTGATTATGACATCTTTATCATATATACACAACATTTCTCCCATTTGACATCTTTATCACATGTTTATATTATACACAACATTTCTCCCATTTGACATCTTTATCACATGTATATACAAAACATTTCTCCCATTTGACATCTCTATCACATGTATATACTCAACATTTCTCCCATTTGACATCTTTATCACATGTATATACACAACATTTCTCCAATTTGACATCTTTACCACATGTACATCCACATCATTTCTCCCATTTAAAATCTTTGTCACATGGATACACACAACATTTCTCCCATTTGACATCTTTATCACATATACACAACATTTCTCCCATTTGACATCTTTATCACATGTATATACATAACATTTTTCCCATTTGTTCATCATTCTATATTCTCCCATTCTCCTTCATAATACCATAATGGACCTTTGAACAACAAACCACAATTTCTTTGGTCCATTGGGAACCTTTGTATGCGTTTCCCTTTTGATAAGCCCTATAAAACATCCAAAAACATAAACCTTATCATTTTCATTATATAACTTTTATATATTTGATCAATCCCCATTCATATATAGAGATTTTCCTATATGAGGTTCAGGATATTATGATTCTTCCGAGGCCAATATGCCTGAAGGTGAGAATTGCAGTCATTTTTGCAATTTCTTGACTGTGACTGAATTTGAATTTGTGACTATTGATCTGTGGTATTATGACATCACGGTACTAAATGCCATTATTTGTACTTGATGAACATCATGCTGAATGAATTTAACAATTTCCATAACATTTTGATCCTCTAAAAGAAAGAAATATTAACAAAATAACACTTTGGATTTTTTCATAATAAGGAAAATTGATACCTGCCCCACCCACTCCTACCCCGTGTTTCTATAGCAACCATTTTAAGACTTAATATTTATGTATGATGCTGAAACTTCAGGTTATAACAGATAACACTTCAATTGTTATATACACCAAATTTCAGCGGAATTGAAGAATATTGAGGAAATTTAGAGCATATATAGTGCATTACTTCTGGAAAAACCCTTGTATTTTGAGATTGTAAGGGATATATTGGAAGGTCAACTGTACATGTTGCAATGATAGCAATTTTGCCACTCCCTATACCCAATATTTCCGATTCTACCTTTAATAAAGTAACCAAACCAATCAGCCTGACAATGGATTTGTTCAATAATTTATCCACCATACACAAGACGTACACAATACACAATACACGTGGCATTTGATAAATTTGACAATTTTATTTCGTTTGTATTCAAAGCTCAATCTCAAAAGCATGTATTAATATTGTATTTGTAAAGGTTTTACTTTTGCTTTCAATACTCCATGTGTGATCTGGCACATGTGCATTAATAAATCGAGTTACACGTCCGCTAAATTGGTAAGTTCTTTATTTCTATAACTCCCTGCCTTACATTAAAATACTTGATAGTATGTACATGTATTTCAGTATGTCATTTAAATAGTTATTTTTTTAGCCAAGATAACTATGTCTGCTTCGATTTCGGTAGTAATTCGAGCGTTCTGTGTACTACGTCATCAATACGGCCATCGTTGTATTCCTCTAATGACATAGTAATTATATGTGCACCATCCGGATCACTAGCAATCATATTCCAGTTCCTTATTGCTGAAATATTAAAAATGAAATTATTTATTTAATTGAATCAATCAATTTCTCATTAATTAACTTTTTTCATCCTAAGAGCATTGGGCATTTCATTCCTACTGAATTAGATTAAAGCATTTCTTTGTGTGAGTCGCACAAACTTTTAATATTAGCTACGGTTATTACGAATGGAAAAATTATTGATATGAGAAACTATGAAAATAAATTGAATCGGGGAAACACGATTTTTTCAAAAGCTTGTGGATCTAATTCGACCAAGATCTATACTAGACCGTTACAAAATATGACAAGTAAAATCTGAATAGACAAGTAACAAATTTTGAATTTAAAATTAACTAAAGCAATATCACTTCGAGGCAAGGTGAAGTTTAAGTCATGTGAAGGTCATCTGTTTATTCATTTATGCTTGTCAACGTTCGTAAATTTAGGGCACTTAAAAGGTCCCGGATGACATTGATGTCACTAACGAGCAATCAATCAAAAAACTCATTCAGATATACCATTTTAAAAGATCGAGTGTTTCATACAACAAAGCTCTTTAAAATATGTAAGTGATATGCAAAAGCGATTTAAATTCATTAATTTTATCGTTTTTGAGACAAGGTTTAAAATATTCGGGCAGTTTCGAGGTTTGTCTATTTCGAGAGTGGTTTCAACACCGAAATGTATCAATCCTGTTATTTATGTCTATATGGGTAAGAATGACAGTCTAACATTCCGTTGCATCTTATTGCCCCAACAGTTACTGTATTGTCGAGGTTTCTATTAATTTACACGGTGGCCTAATTTCCTTTGCAACAATTGGGTCAAATCGAAAACAATGAAAACTCGGAAGGTGTTAAGGCAAACGACTTTATTAATCCCTTATGAATCCGACTTATTAAGTCCGATGCAATTGTAAACTAGTTTGGTAGAAGGTCTCAACTCACCTTCCGCTTGCGTAACCGAGAATCCATTCCTTACACCAACGATAAACACCTCTGACACCATGTGTAGATTTTCAATCGAAGTCCTGAATTTTCTGTCCATCTGTGTGTGACCTTGGCGACTGTAGATACCATCATCGAACACTATAATGAAAAACGTATTTGTGTAATTGTCATTGAATAACTGTGAACTTGTTGTATTTTGCCAATTTTAGACTTTATGTTTATCTAACAAAATATCATATTCAATTTGGGGACTATTGTCAAGAAGATTTCTAGACAACTCATCCCAAGACAACTCATCCCTTCGACAACTCATCCAAAGACAACTCATTCATCAGACAACTCATCCCAAGACAACTTATCTCTAAGACACCTTATCCAAAGACAACTCATCCCTAAGACAACTCATATGAAATTGAGTGTATAATCTAATATCAATTTGTAGTTGTAAAAATGAAAATGGGATCTACATGTAAATAATATAGAGAACAAAATCATTTTATTATCAATTATACAAGCGGAATGAGTTGCATTGGGGTGAGCAGTGAGATGTCTTGGGATGAGTTGTCTTGGGATGAGATGTCTTGGAGATGAGTTGTCTTAGGTATGAGTTGTCCTGTTACTGTTAAGAATATGGTAACTGGTCAACAGCTCGTACCCAAGACAACTCGTACCCAAGTCAAGTCGTACCCAAGACAACTCGTACCCAAGAAAACTCGTACCCAAGACAACTTGTACCCAAGTATATGTTTTGTTTTGAATCAAGTGTTGGGCTGGGAATGGGTATAGATATACATATTATAATGGTTACATACAGTTCAGAATAGTTTGAAGTATGTAAAAGAGTTTTTGGAAGAAATCGATTGAAATTTGTGACCAAATATATTGGTCACAGATTCAGATGTTCGAGGGAAGAGATTTATGTTTATTTCACGTATTCATAATCATTGTTCACAACATTAGTGGTATTTTTGTATGTTAATGAGTGTTTGGAACAAGTATCAGATCTAATTCATTTCGAAATATGGTATTATCAAAAATATAAAGATTTTCAAAACTTGCGCCTATTTCTTATTAAACAGATAATCTATTTAGGATTTCATATTATCAGATTAAAGAATGATTGATATTTTTCTGGCTATTGAATTTTTGGCTGCCTAAAGTCTTTCCAGATATATTTGATGCAATATTAACAATTTAGGCTGATTATTGTTATTCACTTTAGTCATGTTCAATATTATTACAGTGCATTAGGCCAATAAAAAAACTTGTTGCTCTGGGTCTCGTTTTGTGATGCGTTCCCTAGATTGAGCCCAGATTGAGGTCAATCTTCTTGTCAATGGACAGGAGTTGAACCTGATCGAACTGTTCAATACTGTCCAAAATGAAGTAAAACATTACGAATTTCCAACTTCAAGTATTCTCGGCATTAAATCCTTCAGAGATGTTAATATAGCTGTGTCAAATTCTATCATGAAATTGTCAGGGAAACCTGACATATTCAAAGCATGTTACAAATTACGTGCCACGGGGTTGCATGCTGAGTGACAGTGGCGAAAAAGGTGCGTTATCAGAGGTAATGTGACCCAGAGTGACAAGTTTTTTCATTTGGTTAATGCACTGTAATAATATTATTGAATATGGCAAAAATAAATAACAATAATCAGTCATGATTAATATGGCATCAAAACATCTGGAAAGACTTTAGGCGGCAGAAAATTCAAAAGCTAGACAATCTTTAAAATTACGCTAAACGTTCAGTTATTCAAGCAAAAACCTGTCTTTTATTGACAGTGGAGTGTTTTTGAAAATCAAAATCATAAAATTAGGGATTTCGTTTAAATATTTTTTCCATGTTGGAAATTGTCTCCAGAATAAAATATGAAAATTTCAATAAGAATGGTTGTTCTATTGCAAATAAAGAGTAAAAACACGACTGCATCATTCAACCTGTCCGGGGTACTATGCATACTGTCTGTAATAAAATAAATACTTAAAAGCTTACCTGAACAAATACAATACCAATTCGCATTTATCAAGTATCATATATCATATCTGTTTTTATTCAAATCACATCTTATAATGGTTTAGAAATTCAATATACATATAAACAGAGGTATTAACAAATGTAATGTGATTCAATTCTAGAAATAAATACAATTTATATCACGTTGCTATCATGTGATACTGGAGAGGTTAAGCAAATACGGTTTTTCAAAACGTATACGTAAACGCAAAGTACATTGAATCAACATAGGATTGTATCGCTTTAGTCTACTTCAGATACCCGTTCAACTTCAAAGTTGCGTGTTTAGAACGGGAGA